GAGGAGGAGGAGGAGAAGAAGAGGAGGAGAGGAGGAGAGGTGGAGGAGAAGAAGGAGAAGAAGAAGAGGAGGAGGAGGAGAAGAAGAGGAGGAGGAGGAGAAGAAGAGGAGGAGGAGGAGAAGAAGAAGAAAAGGAGGACAACACCTCAAATGCATAGGGTTGCCAGAGGGAATGGCTGCTTTGGAGAGTGGACTCTAAGGCATTATACCCCACTGAGGTCCTCCCCCTTCCTAACCTCCAACCTCCTGAGCTATGCCCCCGCCCTGGAGTTGGCAACTCTATATCAAGCTGCTCAGCATGGCAGGTTGCCATGGAACCAGTCCACGAGCTGGCAGTAGTGCCATTTCAATCCTTACGCCTGTGTTTCTGTGTTAGCCTTTGCCTTGCCAGTCTCCAGGTGGTATTCCAAAAACAACATCTGTGACAAAAATAATGAAGAGTCAATGGAGGTAAGTTGCAAAAACGTTTACTGTAGTAATTTCTGTAGAAAATTTTCTTCTATGATCGCTCACACGCTCACATTGTGAAGACCTTGGATTCTGTTATTGGGGAGTCAACATGGAACGCTTCCATCAAGAGGTGATAAGTAATGATTGATAAGAAATGGGATTGCTACACGCTCAGATAAAGCAAATATTGTGAAACGAATGTTCACATTGCGCAGCATTCGTTAAGCGCGTGAGCGATAGCAGAAGGAAATTTTCTACAGAAATTACTACAGTAAAGGTTTTTGCAGCTTATCTTTATTGACTCTTCGTTATTTTTGACACAGATGTTGTTTTTGGAATTGCACTTCCTCCCGTGAGCTCTCATAGTTTGGACCCAGTCTCCAGGTGGAGGCTGGAGATCTCCAGGGATTACAATGGATCTCCCAGCTACAGAGATCAGTTCATCCAGAGCAAACAGCAGCTTTGGGAGGTGGACTCTGTGGCATTATTATACCCCGCTGAAGTCCCGAAGCCCCCCCCCCCCCCAACCCCCCTCCTCTTCAGGCTCCAACCCCCCCCCCCCCAAAATCTCCAGGTGTTCCCCAGTCTGGAGTTGGCAACCGTAGGCTTCCCTGTGTGGTTTTGCAAAACAGGATCTTCTAACTGCTCATACAAGGTACGGTTGCCAGTTCTAGGTGGGGAAATGCCTGGATATTTTGGTGGTGGGGGGGCCTGGAGAGGGCGGGGTTTGGGAAGCGAGGGACCTCAGCAGGGTAGAAGGCCACAGAGTCCGCTGCCCAAAGGCGGCCGTTTCCTTCAGTGGGGAATGTGTATCTCTGTCCTCTGGAGATTGATTGTAAAAGTGGGAAACCTCCAGGCCCCAGCTGGAGACTGGCATCCCCGCTTACAAGGCCATGGACCTCTGGACTCAAAGGCGACTGCCTGAGCACAGCAATGCCCACCCAACAGCAATGCCCACCCCACGGCCAGTATTCCCTCTAAGTTGAGTTAGTGTGAGCTGGCTCACAGTTTTTTAGCCTCCGGCTCACACATTTTTGTCTTCACTCAGGAAGGGATGGGGCTCCAGAGCAAACTAAGTGATGCAGGAGCCAAATCGCCCGCTCACAACTTGAATGCCCAGGTGCTCACGAAGTAGATTTTTTGCTCACAAGCGGTGTTCCCTCTAAGCTGAGTGAGTGTGAGCTAGCTCACAGTTTTTTAGTCTCTGGCTCACGCATTTCTTGTCTTCGCTCACGAAGGGATGGGGCTCCAGAGCAAACTGATTGATGCAGTAGCCAAATCGCTCACTCACAACTTGAATGCCAGTAGCTCACAGAGTAGAATTCATGCTCACAAGACTCCGCAGCTTAGAGGGAGCATTGCCCACGGCAGCCCCCAGTTCTCTCCTTGGGGTTCTGGTCCCTAAGGGGGGGTCAGACTCAGAATTGGGGGACGTGGTTCAACCGCCCCACTCTGCTGGAGATGGGGTCGCCAGGCCCCAGATGGGAGCGGGGATCACCCGATTTCGTGGGCTCCTGCCCGGGGGAAGCCCCGCCCACAACAGCCACAAATCCGACGCAACATCCCCAACGTGTTAACATCACACGGAAGGGACATCGCCCTGGCTGTAGAAGCGTGTTGGATTACCTTGGGCCGCTCAGAATGCTTGCCCTAGCCTACCTCGCAGGGTTGTTGTGAGGATAAGCTGGAGGGAAAGGATCTCGGAGAGCCAAGCTCCGATCCTTGATCCGCCACGGAAGCTTCTTGGGTGACCTTGGGCCGGTCAAACTCTCTTGGCCTCACCTACCTCACAGGGTTGTTGTGAGGATGACATGGAAGGGAGGAGACTACTGTGAGCTGCCTTGGGTCCTCCCCCCCCCCATGCTGCAGAGAAAAGTAGGATATAAATGAAGTAAATAACCAAGTGGAGGAAGGAGTGAGGAGAGCATCGACAGGGCTGCCGAATCTCAAACTGAGAGCCAGTCTGGTGTCGTGGTGAGACTACTGTGAGCTGCCTTGGGTCCCCTCTTCCCTGACCTGTCCCTAATTCGAAACTTTCAGGTGGGGTCGCTGCGTTGGTCTGAAGCAGAAGGGCAAAGTCTAGTCCAGTCCAGTCCAGTCCAGTCGGGCACCTTTAAGGGCAACCACGTTTTATTCCAGGTGTGAGCTTTGTCTGAAGAAGTGCGCCTTGCCCACGAAAGCCGACACTCTGAATAAAACTTGGTCAGTCTTCAAGGTGCCTGACTGGACTCACACTTTGTTCTGTCCCTAATCCGCCCCTCGGCGGCTGCATCCGGCTCCCTGCAACCAAACCACCGGCTCTGTCCCGCCGTCTCCCCCACTTCCTTCTTCTCCCTGCCGGGCCCTGCCGGGCCCGGCCTGCATCCTTCCTCCGTCTCCATAGCAACCAGCCAGGGAGGAAGGTGGATGCGGTCGCCGCGGCAGCAGCATCACATCCGCAGAGGCCGGGATAGAAGGACCGGTGGTGCAAGGGAGGAGGATGAAGCTGGTGAGGGCGAGGGCGGGGTGCCCAGGGGGCAAAGGGAGGGGGGGGGAAAGAAGAGACTGTTGTGGGGGGGGCTGGGGGGGGTGTCATTAGGGGCTCACGAGAGGGAGTGGGGTATATTATTGCATGACAATGAGAGAGCCCGTGTGGCTGGTACGGAGACGCCTGGTGCAGCATGGTTGTGGCGGTGGCGGGGAAACATTAGCGGCATAAGCAAATTGGGATCTCAGTCAGGATTTGGGGGAGGGCGTCCGTGGGACACACTTGAGGGCGAGAAGGAATGTGGGGACATGTAGGGCAATGTGGAGACCAATGCTCCCTCTAAGCTGTGGAGTCTTGTGAGCAAAAATTCTACTTTGTGAGCTACTTTGTGAGCTACTTTGTGAACAAGCGATCTGGCTGAACTGCATAAATTAGCCTGCTCTGGAGCCCCATCCTTCCTGCGCGAAGACAAAAATGTGTGAGCCGGAGGCTTAAAAACTGTGAGCTAGCTCACACTAACTCAGCTTAGAGGGAACACTGGACTGGGGACGTGTAGGGCAGGATGCAGGAATGGGGGACCGGGCAAAGCGGCAGGGGGTAGGGGGGGTCAGACTCAGAATTGGGGGGCGTGGTTCAACCCCCCCATTCTGCTGGAGACGGGGTCGCCAGGCCCCAGGTGGGAGCGGGGATCACCCGATTTCGTGGGCTCCTACCCGGGGGAAGCCCCGCCCACAAAAGCCACAAATCCGGCACAACATCCCCAACGTGTTAACATCACATGGAAGGGACATCGCCCTGGCCGTAGAAGCGTGTTGGATGACCTTGGGCCGCTCAGAATGCTCGGCCTAGCCTACCTCGCAGGGTTGTTGTGAGGATAAGCTGGAGGGAAAGGATCTCGGAGAGCCAAGCTCCGATCCTTGATCCGCCACGGAAGCTTCTTGGGTGACCTTGGGCCGGTCAAACTCTCTTGGCCTCACCTACCTCACAGGGTTGTTGTGAGGAAGGAGACTACTGTGAGCGGCCTTGGGTCCTCCCCCCCCCATGCTGCAGAGAAAAGTAGGATATAAATGAAGTAAATAACCAAGTGGAGGAAGGAGTGAGGAGAGCATCGACAGGGCTGCCGAATCTCAAACTGAGAGCCAGTCTGGTGTCGTGGTTAAGTGCGCGGACTCTAATCTGGGAGAACCGGGTTTGATTCCCCACTCCTCCTCCACTTGCAACCAGCTGGGTGACCTTGGGCAAGCCGTAGTTCTCTCAGAGCTGTCCTTGAAAAAGAGCCGTTTCTGTCAAGCGCTCTCTCAGCCCCACCTACCTCACAGGGGGTGCCTGTTGTGGGGAGGGGAAGGGAAAGGAGTTTGTAAGTCACTCTGGGACACCTTTGGGTAGTGAAGGGCCATGGGGTATACATCCAATCTCCTACTCCTCCCCCTCCTCCAAAGCAACACATTTAGAAACTGGCACAGCTAGGGTTGAACTTGACAGTTTCCCTTGCTGTCTTGGCGGGGGAATATGGGGTGGGTGGGACGTTGTCGGGCGATGTCCCAATGCAATGATGGTCACCCAGAAGTTATCTCAGCGATGTCGCATGCGACACTCTGGTTTTTGAGCAAAAACGCTATGGATTTTTTGCTTCAAAACTGAAGAAGAGGAAGAGGAGGTGGAGGAGATTGGATTTATACCCCACCCTTCACTTGGCGTCTCGGAGTGGCTAACAGTCTCCTTTCCCTCCCCACCGCAGACACCCTGTGAGGTAGGTGGGGGGGGGAGAGCTCTTTCAAGGACTGCTCTTGAGAGAACAGCTCTGAGAGAACTTGTGACTGACCCAAGGTCACCCAGCTGGCTGCGTGTGGAGGAGTGGGGAATCAAACCCGGTTCTCCCAGATTAGAGTCTGCGCTCTTGACCACTACACCAAACTGGCTCACAACCAGAGTGTGATCGCCTGACAATGTCCCTATTTGGGGGTAGGCCGGCGGTGGATTTCAGCCTTCAAGAGCAGGGGAACCCCCTCTGGGACCTGCGGGCTAGCAACCCTAGGCACAGCCAATCAAACCTCCAATGGCCAATTGGAAGCCTCACTGGGCAAAAGGCCCACCCACTTTCTATGAACACTTGGTGGGCACCAGGAAAAGTGTTGGCAGGCGCCGTCACCCACCCACGGGCGCCACGTTGGGGACCCCTGCTCTAGGCCGAACTTTGTGGAATGCAATCTGCTTTTAGCCTTGTTTGCCGTTTGGCCCGCAGTTTCGATTTGTTTATAAAAATGTGCAGCCCATCCTGCCACTGAGAAGTGCTCAGGGTAGCTTATTCCAAATTAACAACAAAGGTAGCTGCAACCAGAAAAAGACACCCCTCCCCAAAAACACACACACATATGTATAAACATTTAAAAGAGCTGTCAGATTTTTTTAAAAAACAGCTTCAGGAAACCAAACTCAGACTAAACCTCAAATTGAAACCTGGCAAAAAAATCACTTTAATCTCTCCCCACCTAAATCCCACCCTCGTTTATAACATCCGGCATGTGGGCTTTCGAGTATTTTTGATGGGTGCACAGAGGGCGGGGAAATTTTCTGCGGATTCTCTTTGTGTTGTATTTTCTCTCCAACTAAAATAAATAAATAAATTCAAATGACTTATTGGCTTGCCAGGAAGTCTTTCCCT